CTTTCCCATAAAACACCCAACTCCTACACTTCCATAAGCTTCTGTAATTGGTATTTCGCCGCTTCTCAGACTCCCAATTACAACCTGAATACATCTTGCCTAAAAGACATTAGGCATATGTATGCTTCAAGAAAGGGGTCGAAGACATCCCACTTGAGAGGGATTGACGAGTTCCTATCCATCGAGAATCAGCCGGCTAGACAGGAAGAGGAACAAAGAGCTGAACCTGTTCCGGTGGAAGAGCAACAAGCGGTTGATCCCCCCATGACCAGAGCAGCTGGGAAGAGAAAACTCTCAGCGGATGAAACCGGCAAATATGATAAACAGATCCGTAGGAAGTTGCTGGTTGATTCCCCTCCCCCCAAAGGCCAACAAAAATCTAAGTTGATGGGTGATACCATCAGAGCAGCTGAAGATGAAGAACAACAGGAATCTTCTGTTGTAGGTCTGCCACGTAAAATTGGGCTTCGTTCTCATGGCCCAGCCTTATCGAGCGACGCTTCTTCTTACCATCCACCCCAAGATAAAGAGGATGAGTTAATGGCTGCAGATGCAGAATCTTCTCCGGCGATGGACCTTCCTAAGTCTCCTGCATCAGAACCAGGGTGTCTCGAAGAGAATCCATTCCCTTCTCCTTCAGCCTTAATGTCACAAGCTAATGATTCAATTCCTAGTCCTACAACGGGACTTATGAATAAACCAGCTGTTGGCATAGATCTTACGGAACCTTCAGCTGCTCAGGATGATGATGAGCGAGATTATGACGACGGCTCCTCGGCTGGTGATGTAGCTGACGAAGATAGAGATTTGGTGATGCAGCTGACGAAGATAGAGATGATGAGGATGCTGAAATTGGCAACGTGCCAGGTGACGATGAAGGTGATGATGGACATGATTCCATGGATGACATCACTACTTTCGATGATGCTCCCAAGGCTCCATCTAATAAAGCATCTGATTATACTCCTTTTTATCTCACCGGTAAGCCGGATTTGTTTCAAATTCTTCCACATGCTTTTTTCGCGTTCCGACCCTTTTTTTGTGCAGGTTCGCCTCCTTCCAAGACTACTGCTGCTACTACCTCAAAGCAGGATCCAGCACAAGTATTGGCTCCTCCCCAGGAGCAACATTTACCCGGATCACCTACGGCAACTGCTTCACCTGTAGCATTGCCTGAAACTACTGATGCGACCCCTTCTCTAGAACAACAGCTCGTGCCGGTGTCAACTCCCGCGCAAGAGCAGCCTCTGCCTGCTTCGTCTTCGGCAGCTGCCTCACCTGCCGCGTTGATGAAGATCTCACTTACACCAACAGAGGCGAGGCCCAGCACGTCTCAGGCAAGGGCAATGATGGCTTTGACCTCGAGCCCATCACAATTGAATGTTTCTACCGCCTCTGCAGCTTCAGCGCCTGGCTCCCCTGCACCAATTTCAATGGCTCTGGGAGCATCTTCAAGTCTCGCGGGCGCACCTGAGTTCCTTCAAATCTCTTTGGTGTACTTGAATAGCCTCGCCAAGAAGGTGATTGAATATGTGGTGGGTGGTCAGGGCACTTTTAATTCTTTTCGACATCTTCTAGAAGCAGGCTTAAACGGAGTCAGAAGTGTGGGAAACACTCCGTGGTTCGAGCGCTGTTCTGAGATTATTCTTCATTTGGAAGAACAATTGCAGTCACGGAGCTTCGCGAGCGTAATATTCAGAAACGAGAAGAGTTAGAACGCTCGACTACTTCCATGAACTCACTCCGTGATAGACTTGTTGAAGCTGAGGCTGAAGTCCTGCGATTAAAGGCTGAACTTGCCCGCGAAGAAAATATTGTCGATATCCTTAGCACCCAAAACGCTACTGGTACTCTAGAATATCACACGCAAGCTCGAGCTTTGGAACAAGCCAGGAATGAAGCGGCAGCTATCATCACTCCCAGTGAGGAAGAGCTCCGGGCAAGGGCTGAAGCTATGGTGCGCACCACTCACGAAGAGGAGCTAAACAAAGTTAGGGTCCAACTCACGTCTTTTGATTTGATGTGTGAATGAACTTTATTCTTGTAATGTTCTTTTGATAAGAACAAGTTTGTTTTGTATCACTTTCTTTTGGTTATTGAATAAAAAGTGATATTAACTTCTCATTGTTTCTTGCATTTATCATGTTCTGATTTTAAGTAACAAATCATGAAAAATGCCTGAGACGTATTCCCGACTTAGAATAAATCTCCACAATGATTCTGATGCAGAAAACTCTCTTTTATTATCGTTTAAGATAACTCCAGAAAATTTTAAACTGCTAAGGATTAATATTTTCCCGTAATGGGATTGACTGATAGAATTCTCCCTGTGTCATTTCTATTTTGAACACTGAAAGAAGTCTATAGGTGCTAGAAGTATAGCTTTTTAAGTTGGCAGGGGGGAATATTGCGATCAGGGCAATTTTGAGGACTTATCGTTCTGTTGATGAGAATCGATAAGTTGATTTTGTCAGAGGTGTGATATTAACGTGACAGAAGAAATATTGCGATCAGGGCAATTTCGAGGACTTATCGCTCTATTGATGAGAATCGTAAGTTGATTTTATCAGAGGTGTGATTTTAACGTGACATCTGAAATATTACGATCGGAGCAATTTCGAGGACTTATCGCTCTATTGATGAGAATCGATAAGTTGATTTTGTCAGAGGTGTGATATTAACGTGACAGAAGAAATATTGCGATCAGGACAATTTTGAGGACTTATCGTTCTATTGATGAGAATCGATAAGTTGATTTTGTCAGAGGTGTGATATTAACGTGACAGAAGAAATATTGCGATCAGGGCAATTTTTAGGACTTATCGTTCTATTGATGAGAATCGATAAGTTGATTTTGTCAGAGGTGTGATATTAACGTGACATATGTGAGGAAAGAATATTGTAGCGTCTCACTTGGGAGAACTGCTATGTGTTTTATCGCCAGGGAGACAAATTGTATCACTTGTGATTTGAACAAGATTCAGAAGATTTTATCATCTCACCGAAAAGAATTAGGTAAATTGGTTATTTGATATTCTGCTGAAGAGAGTTGATCAATTAACCAGGATTTGGATGATTTTGGAGATTTATCGTCCTATTGATGAGAATCGATAAATGGACCTTCGCAGAGGAATTGTAGTCATATTGGTAGTGATAATAACTAAATTCAATATCTGCTAGGGTGATGACTATCTGAGGTGTAATATTAACCTGATGAGTTAAGGAGATACAGAGTTTGAAAAGCACCCTGTTGAAAGAATCTCTGAACTTAGAGGATAAGTATCAAGGGTAGATTCTTCATTTGGAAAAGTTACAACGCTAAGGTGACTCTTGCGTTTGAGGTACGAAATGCGAGGCTAAGAACCTCCATAACGCTGGTCTGAGCCTAGCGTTTGAATGCGGGTGTGAACTTCGCGTTGAGATTAAAGTCTTAACTGACTTTATCTAAAAACGTAAGAGATTTACGTTTTAAAATATAAAACGGTTGGGATTCTCTTAGAATCCCTAACCATCTTAATAGCTTGACGGCTGTTATAAATAGACCTGAGTGGTCACGTCAAGAGTCATTCGACTCTTTCCACTTTTGGCTATTTCCAAGAACGAGAATTCTCGTTTGGTTTCAACAAAATCTCCGACGAACTTCATCTCCTTCGTTCAAAAGAGTTTCTCTTGATCAACTGCATCAATGGCGCCTCGGAGAACAGATTTCGATTCTAAGAAAGTCGTTGAAGCGACTTCTAAAACGCCGTCGGCTGAGGACGCCGGCGGTGTTCCTGTTCGTGCGGGAACATCATCGTCGTCATTGTCGTCACAAGGGTTTCCCTGTCGTGGTAAGTGTTGGCCCAAATAACTTGCCTTGGCAAGTTTCTTTGAAAACCCTAGATGGGTTCTTGACAACGAGGAAGATGACTCGTTTTTGTTTGATGAAAACGTAGGGTTGGGACTTCTTGTGGGTCTCGACTCTCGCGTTTGAGTCTTTCCAACATGAGGTCCGACCCTTGCGTTTGAGATTTCTTACGCGAGGCTCGACCATCGCGTTTGAGATCCTGACACGGAGACTTTAACCTTCTGTGTTTCAGACTTGTCTTTATGTCAATAGTTTGTTTCTAGCTGCTAAACTCTGCTTTTTGATTGTGCAGTGTTTCTTCCAAACGTGCCGCTTTCACAAGAGCATCATTTTGGATATATCGGCGGTTCTGACGCGAATGAAGTCTTCAGGGCAGAATTCCACTGTGCACTTTCCCTGATTCGGAGAGAACGGATATAATTAAATTTTCCCGATGCTCTACTCTCAGAATTTTAATCACTGACTTGGACATGGAGACCCCGATTGGTCATGCTCAGTTTCCCAAACCAGCATTCATATTCAGAGATCGTATAGCAATCGATGACCATCTTATACATGTGGAGGACTCCAAGTTGCTGCGGAGAGTTAATAATCGCTTCTTATTCCTCCCTAACATGAAGAGGATGTACCCACTCTCTTACTTCTTGAATGTGAGCTGTCGTCGGGGTTTGACCTTCGACATAGTTAAAGAGAAAGAGAATGTGTCACTTGGATTTGGTCGGAGGGCTTGTACAAAAATCGGGGGACAACTCAACGGGTTAAGACCCGGTTTATTTGAGAAGAAAGATCTGATTCAGGAGATGCCGCGTCCAGCGAATGTCTTCATTCGTCAGTTCATTGCGGTTCAGGGTGAATTCTCCACCCAACTGTTCAGGTCCCCAGGATGGGTTTGTTCCGGAGAGGAAGGTTGGTGGACCCGTATGGTCGACTTTGTTCTTGAGGAGCTTAAGGAGTCACTCGCTCAATCAGGTCTCACAATCCCTGTGTTAGCTACTCGACGTGGGGTTGTGCAAAGCCATCACAATTTCTTCGCTATATTGGAGAAATATAACCCGGACAGCTGCACATTTTTCACACCCATAGGGGAATTGGGTTTTGCTCTACACGAGATGCAAGCGGTATCGGGGTTGCCCTTGGGTAAAATGCCATACGAAGAATTCATCCCTACCACCGAGGAGCTTTCCCTGTTGAAGGCGGCACATCCAGAAGTCTATTCTACTTTCTGGGAGTTGATGTGCCACTTTCATATATGTGCTCAGGTCATCGGAATGCGCGGAGGGGGAATCATGCACACCGGTTGGGCAGAATACCTCTTTCAGAACTTGAACCGGAAAGACATAGCTGTATCTCGTGTTGCAGCCATTTCTCTTAAGGATGCTAAAACCCAAATTAAAGCTTCCAGTGCTACTTACAAGACAGAGCTTGCAGAGGATAACTTTGAGGCTGGTGTTGACTTTAAGAGTTTCCACCACCAAGCCACAGTTCCTATTTTTGACACGGCTCTTCTTGCAGGCTTCTTCATAATTTGGTTGAAACGGTGCGTAGTACCGTCAAAACCAGTAGAGGTAATATTAGCTGAGGTTGTATACCCAGCTGTTTTGCTAGCGCATGGGAGACCCATAAGTCTTCTCACTGCTATGGTAAGCTGCATGCAGAGCGGCTTACGGATGTTGACCTCCGAACTTCTCGGCGCTCCGGGCGTTAAGGTTGCCAGGAAGAAGGTTAAGCAGGCTTCTCCACCACGCGTACCAGTGCCGTATACGTATTTGGTGGTCTGGTTCGTATTGCATTACCCTTCATTGATGACGGGAGCATCTGAGGGCGATGATGCTTATGTTCCCTTTGTACAGAGGTTGGAATCGGCCACGTGGACTAATTCTTATATAGTCAGGGCTCGACAGCTTTTGTCTCGGGGAGACAATTATAAAATTTTCTGTTGTGCCCTTAATTTCGACGGAGCTAAAAAGAATGCCAACTTTTCAGACATTCTTTTTGAGGGTTCGTCTTCATTAGAAGAGGGCACTTTCAGATGGCTTCTCATGATCAGATTAGGCTATCTAGTATACCGCTTGAGGGAGAAGTGTATCATTGAGCCTTACACACCTTCTAGATTTGCCAGACAATTCGGATATGATCAACTTTATGTCGGTAATCCCAATCCGGCATTAGCCCAAATCAGGAATCTGTACGAAGGGGCTCGTGCGTGGTTCTTCTTCTCTGCCGGAGGGACTCATGCACACTTTACCTTACCCAATTCACTGCCTGGCTGTTCTACCGTTGCGGACTTTCGCGACTGGTTTGATGAAGTTTCTCGAATCCCGGAATACGATATTCATACTTCATGCATAAGCGAGATTCGGGAATTGTATAAATCGAGAAGTCATTTTGCCAAGAGTCGTTTACCAGGAATAGAGGAGTATCTTTCCTGTGAACAAGAGGCGGCTGGAACAGTTGAAGCCTCACAGGAATTACCTACCATTGAGCCTTCTGGGGAAGAGGTTCATGCAGGGACTGAAGAAGGGTTGCCAACTGTAAATTCTCCTGAAGATAAGGTGGCTGAGGGAATTCCTGCTCCTGAAGATAAGGTGGCTGAGGGACTTCCTGTAGAGACCCCTACTCCTGAACTTCGTTCTTTGAGATCGGGGAAGAGGGCCCTTACTGCGGCAGAGGAAGGTGAATATGACAGGAGAACTCGCAAGAGAAAGACCGTCCCCGCCAAGAACTCCAAGAGGGCTAAATTGATGGGGGACGCGATGAAGTCTGCACCTGGTAGACTTCCCGAGAACAAAGAGGCTGTAGCACCTCAAGCTGCTCCTCCAGATCTTGGAACGACAACAGATGAGCAGGAACCGGCTACCTCAGGTTCAGTGTCGAATACGACCGAAAAGTTATCATCTGAAGCTGCGCACACCTCTACTCGCACTGATTATGAGAATTGCTTCATTTATCCGCCGACTGCACCACCCCTAAGCTCTGAAACTTTGAGAAAGCTCATCGAACAATTAGAGTACTGGATGCAAATGACTATCGATGTCGTTAGTCTCGGGGACGTGAGTTTCAAAGTCTTTGAACCCCATCTGTTGGGGTGTCTCGCCGAGATTAGGAACCAGGGGAATGCATTGTGGACTGAACATTGTCGTGAGAGTATCATTATTCTGGAATATGAATTGGAATTCCTTTCAATG